TTTCCGTGAGCATAGAATGGACTTCATTTTGAAATTAGAAACTTCTATTACTGGATCATCCACAAGAGCACCTATGAGTTTAGAGAAATTCGCGGCACATGCCTAAGATAACAGGGTTGCCACAGTCAGGGAAACCCGGGAAATATCAGAGAATTTTAAAAAGTCTGGGAAAATCGGGCAATGTCAGGGAAAATTACGAAAATGTCAGGGAAAATGTCAGGGAAAATTTGTTAAATCACCTTCGTTTGCTTTCTAGAATGGGTTTGAGGTTTTGAACAACAAATTTTGCTTGAAAACTATTTTCAATTATGGCTCCTTAACCATCCGTCAGATCTTCAATTGTCAGGGAATTTCACCAAAATGTGTCAGGGAATTCCGGGAAATGTCAGGGAATTTTATTTTCTAAATTCTGTGACAACCCTGAGATAAGCCAGAAATAGTATAGTATAGTGTAATAGAACGGAAAAGTTTAGACTTTGTATTTACGCTGTTTAAAAGAGGAGAGGACGATCTGTCAACTTTCAAAAAGCTCGAGAAATCACTCCACTCTCGTCTCACTATCAGAAAAAGCGATTGTGGTGAATAACGTGAACGTGGGAGTAGTGAGATAAGAAGCTTCTCATTGGCTATGGCTTTGCGCGAAAAAATAGAAACGTAGAAAGGATGGTTATACAAGGTAAACCAGAAGTTCCGCACCACCTCTAATAACCTTAGGGTTCTTTCTTATCGTATAGGGCGGCCCCCCTAAAATTGCGGGGGTTCCCAAAAGTCGTTTCTTGGGACCTAAGAGGACACACACAATTACAAGTCTCTATCACAATTTGTACGAAAGTTGCTGGGGTCATGCTCGGTGCTTTGTGGTGCGGGACTTTAGAATCACCCTGTATGAACAATTAACTTAAGCGGAAGATAAGCAGACACCCAGCTAAACATGTCCCCAAATCAAAGCGAAACAAACGAACGGGGGGAGGGGGGCAAAAATCCTTCTGGCATTTTTCTCTCTGAAATAAGGTTCAATTTTTCCCGGGAATTGCATTTTCCCATCAATCGAATTAGAGAGAGAAAAAATTGCGCCCCCCCCCCCCCCCAATTTCATTCAATGATTGAGGCTTTTTCCGGTAAATGGACGGACGTATGGGACTTCCAGTGCTGATATATGATCGTGCAACGGAGTTCTTTAGTTGTAAGAAACTTCTCCGGCAGTGTTCTGCTATGCATTTTTCCCTGCATTTTCTCCGAGTATTCCTTCAAAGTCGATTGAGAATGTAATTCATTTGCCGCAAATGTTGCAAAAAATTACACAATCTTAGCAGCATTGCAAGCCTCATACGCCCTTTTACTGAAAAGTGCCTTTTTCAAGAATTGGAGTGAAATGATAATTAGTCCCAGAGCCCCTTTAGTGTTGATACGATACAGTGTTACATATCGACGGTGAAACTACCAAACCACGTATCTCGGTTTGCGACGTCGCAGACTTCCTGTCATACTTTATTTTTTAAATGAAAAACTATTTAAAGTCCAGTCTTGAAAATTTCTGTGATTATTCCTCTTCGCGCGGAGAAAATTCTGTGAAAATTTCAAGGAATGATATTGATTTGGTCTACTTCCAAAAAATAAAATGTGAGCGTAGATTTTTAAACACCGCAAACGAGATACGTGGTTTGGTAGTTTCACCGTCGATATGACCAATCTATTTGGGAACCTTTAGAATTTATGAATCCTTTTAGTTGAGCGGTATCCTCATTCGATTTCTGCCTCTGGCATTTCCTGTCGGAGGAAACTCACTACGTTATCAGTATCAGTTCCAACTCAAAGCGACCTATGATTCATCGCTTATCCCATGACTCAAAAAATTGGGGAGGGGGATTCCTGGGCACTGACTCGCTCCTATATTTTTCCCGAATTTGAATTACAAATTTTTTCACGGAAGTGCTCGTCATTTTCATTCATTTTCTCCGCCGTCTTCAATCCGTCTCGACTCATTCCGAATCCCATCAATAATGAAAATTAATCGGAACACCGATAACTTAGTCCGTACTGCCGTGCTAAGGGAGAACGCCGTACGAGCCTTCAGACGTTGCCAAGTTTCTTCCAATAAAAACCGAATTTACCGGGAAAACGGTGAATATTTTTTACCAAAATTTTCAGACAATTTTGTACGCAATTCAATCTGAAAATTTCAAAGGAAAACGTGCATGAATGTCGTCCAGAATACATGGTTGATCAAGGGAAATTCGGCAACTCTCGAATGTTCTTACGGCGTTCTTCCTTAGTACGGCAGCGTAGCTCTAATCCGGAGGGGACTACTTGATTTTTCCACCATTCTTTTTTTTTTTCAAAGTAAGGGTTAAGTGCTCGGCGCAATGATTAATAAATATGCGTTTGCAATTTCATTCCCTTCTTCTTGCAAGCCACGACCAGTGGCGTGGCGTGCTTTGCGATGTACCGATTGATCTGCCTTTTAAACCTAAGGAAAAGGATCGAACAACATGGTGTTGGCAACGACCACCCCAATAATCGATTGTTACCATAGCTTCAAGTGGGGAAATATCGATTAATCGATCATTGACGCCTCGCTTCTGGCCACGACCTCGATCCAGGCATTCAATCGAGGCGATCGGCCAAGGACTAAGTATCGCCAATCCGTAACAATGTAACATGCAAATGCTCATGCTACATCAGACTCATCGTGAGCACAGCAGACGAAGAAAAATTCATACGCTATTGAAAATGAACTTCCATAGACTTTTCCCGCTCAAGAATTCTGGTCGTTTCGGAAGGAATTCAGTTGCTTTGAGGGAATCGTGGGCGGCATCAGTAGGAGAGCTTTATTGCCCGCTTGCCGCCCCTTGGCCCACTGAAACTGTGAGGGTTTTGATAATCCAGTGTACCGTAATCTTTGATCCTTGATGTTGTATTTCAATTAACTTTTCGATAAGATTAGCTTATTATGGTTCCTAGGTAGACCCAGTGTTAATAAAAATGGTCCTAGGAGGCCTTTTAAACCCCCTACAGGAGGTGAGGAGGCCGCACTATCCCCTTAGATGAAGCCGGGGCAGAGTTGCCACAGTCAGGGAAAACCGGGAAATGTCAGGGAAAATGACAAAAATGTCAGGGAAAATTTGTTGAATCACCTTCATTTGCTTTCTAGAATGGGTTTGAGATTTTGAACAACAAATTTTGCTTGGAAACCACTTACAATTATGCCTTCTAAATCATCCGTCACATCTTCAATTGTCAAAGAATTCCACCAAAATGTGTAAGGGAAATCTTGGAAATGTCAGGGAATTTCATTTTCTAAATTCTGTGGCATCCCTGCTGGGGAACTCCCCTAGACCTAGGGGATGTCTTGCCAAATTTCTCCAAAAATTCGTGATTAGTCAAGGGAAGTTTGGCAACGTCTGAAGGCTCATACGGCGTTCTTCCTTAGCGTGGTAACAGTGGTGTCTAAGTCTTCGAATTTTTGCATCAGAATTTTAAGAGAACTCCATTATTTGGACGTATTTCTGTCAAACAGAACTATGTTCATCAAGACATGAGTCCTGAGACCAATAAGAACACATACTTAATAGGGCTCACGTCATGATGCACACAGTTCCGTTCGACAGAAATGCGTCCATTTCCACCATCAGGCGAATTTTACTTGATTTTTTGCTCATGAACCATACGAGGCCGAAAATATCGTCGGCCTTGGAATTTGACTTCAGCCACACTTGATTAGGTAGCTAAGTTGTTGGCACGGGGTTTCTGAAATATATGGATTACATTTTGCAATAAGGAACTACTATTTCTAGCCCATTTTAGAAAAGCATACATGTCATTGGTTTCCCTATACAGATATGTGCTTTTATGGGAAAGCCAAAGATTGTGGTTCCTTATTGGAAAATGTAATCCATACTCTCTTTGGTCGGGTCTTTTTCGCACTTAACTATTCAATCTTCCTGCAGACAGGCTTGAGAGATGAACGATGCTATTCTCAGTTATTTTCAGCGCTGATGAACTTTGATCCTCATCATACTTGCGAGCCGAGTTCTGTCAACTGGGCGCGTTCGCTTAGTTGATGTTATGAATTTTTCATTTCGTGCAACTGTGTCGCACACTTTGACGTCGCGTTTCGCAATTGGGAAAACAAGACGCGGTTTGTTATCAGAATTCGATTCAGCCAAATACGCTTCGCATGTGCGAAGCTTCCACAGAGCACCTTTCCAGTTTTCAGATATGATTCTTTCCTCCCTCCCAAATTAGGATTTTTTCCCCCAGCGCTCACGAGACGGTCTCAAATCATCTTTTGCGTCGCTTGCGATCATTGAAGGAAATGAGAAGCATGATTGCTTTTAGGGTGTCTACAAGTCCGGAAAGTTCGCAAATAGTATTGATCTCTTAAGGACCGTCCGGAAGTACTGAAAAAGAGCGGAAATTCTGCTAGAAGGTCCGGAATTTTTCATTTTTGTCGCAGTTTGAAAGAGAAATTCAAAATGTAGAAATTTTTCGAATTTCGTCAAATGGAGGTACTGAAAAAGTACTGAATTTTTCCGTTTAGGAGGCACTGAATTTCTTTGGGATGTACTGTAAAAGTACTGGTTTTTGGCCAGCCTGTTTTAGTAGACACCCTGGCTATCAATTTCAATAAGCGGCCGGCTGGTATCGTTCGACGAACCATGGATTCGTTGCAATCCTAATATTTATACAGTATACCAGGAGTCCAAAAAATTGACGAGCCTACCTCTCTTCTCCGTTGATACAATGAGACTCTTGCTCTGAACCGAGTTGAATTTATCTCCGATTCTATTATCTTGCAATTGTCTTTACCGCAATATCGCATTTAGATTAGCTCTGTACAGATATTTTTAAGTGAGCGTCTGTGTTGGTGTAGTTTCTCATCAGTTTTAATAATCTCTTCAAGTTTTACTTACTTTTGACCTATAATACTATAAAATAATGCATAATAAATTTACATTTATTTAATAATACTAATAATAAAATTATTGTTTATGTTTCAGGTAAGTGCCGTAAGCAGTGCCTCTGAGCCTTTTAATTGTACAGGAGTACGTAAGTTTTCTCTATATCATTCTTACGCGAATGATCTTGCCAATTCATAGTCCTAACTCCTATGTCATTGATTGGCGGCGATCAAGGTGTTTCCCGCCTATCAATAGATTTTAACACTGGATTATAAGCTATGTTTTCTCATCAAAAGTTCACGAAGAACACGATTCGTGCAACGAAAGTTGAGTGCAATTCCTAACCAAAAAACAATGTTTTTCAATGCACGAATTCAGGGTGTACAAGTCCGGAATTTCTGGAAAATCCGCAAATAGTACTGATTTTTTTAAGGGCGGTCCGGAAGTTCCAAAAAAGTGCAGAAAATCCGCAAGAAGGTCCAGAATTTTTTTCATTTCTTTCTTATTTTTGTCGCAATCTGAGCAAGAAATCAAAATTTTTGAAATTTTACGAATTTCCTCAATTAGAGGTACTGAAAAAGAACTGAATATTTCTGTTGAGACGGTACTGAATTTCTTGGGAATGTACTGAAAACGTGCTGTAAAAGTACTGATTTTTGGCCAGCTTGTTTTAGTAGACACCCTGGAATTCATACATCCTGCTCTTTTAAAGAAACCATAATCTCCTCGAGTTAAATCGCACATCAACCGTTGCCTCAACAGCCTTTGCGGAATGAAAATATGGCAACCTCGCAGCATTAGCATTTGGCTCAGCTGTTGCACGTTGTTTGTTTGTTGACGCCTTGAACAACGCACAGCGAGGAAGGAATACTGCTTACTGAGAAGCCTGTCGAAACTGTTGGAGTGTGCAATTCGATTCAATTGACTCTGGTTTTTCACGTGAACGGAAAATTGAAATTTTTCGTCTGCAATGCTGAATGAAAACGTTAATATCTTGGTTAGGAGCTCAGCTTAGTAAATTTTGTCGCTTGATTCGTGCTCTGCAACACATTTTGAAGCGGAAACCAGGGTTGCCACGTTGCCAGTAGACCTATTGGTTGAAATGGGTGGTTCTCATAGACTCAGGGAGAAAATGATGGACTAACTAGAGGGTTTCTCATGAGTTGCCGTTAGTTAGCCTATTACTTACCTCCTTTGTCCATTGCAACCCCTCACTTCTACCAATAAGATCCCTCCATATCCTTTTTGTCTTCTTTGTCTATTCCTTTGTCTACGAATTTCAACGATCAGCACGCAGACAGTCAAGAGATCCGTCTTTTTTCACTTGTCCTGTTACCAGTGGCGATTTTTGAAAGTTGGTAACACTGTTTTTCCTCCTTTTAGATGGACGTATTTTTGTCAAACGGAACTACGTGCTTTATGACGCGAGCCCTGTTGTGCATATAGTCTTATGAGTCTCAGGGCTCATGTCTTAATGCACATAGTTCCGTTTGACAGAAATGCGTTCGAATGTATGTAAAATTATCAATTCCTGCTGAGGCAGCTTGCTTCAATTAAAATTTATATTTTTAAAGGAATTCTCAAGTTGAATATCGTGATGTTTATAACGCGTACCTATCGCAATAATTTCACTCGATGCGACTATTTCAACGCATGGGCAAATGTTTTTCCTATCCGTCCAAGTAAAGGCGAATCACCCGCGTGAGTCGCGTCGGAGGAGCTAACAGCGTGGTTCGCCTTCAATCGGACGAATAGGCAGAAACATTTCCTGAGCGTTAAAATAGATGCATCCTCTGATACGATTCTCGGGCCGCGTTGCGTTGATATTGCGAGCGGGGTTTTTTTCCCCCTTTTTCTTTTCTCTACTTCAAGTAGCCCACAAGGGCTAATCCGGTGCGCTTTAAGTCTCATCTCCCCTCCGTTCCTACTGAACCAGTGCCAGGCAAGCATTGTTTGAGACCATCAAACCGCTAAGGCCAGGAATCGAAGCTAGAACCTCCCGATCTTAGAGCTAGCGCTACAACCACTACACCATAGGAGGCCGACGTTTGAGCCGGGATCCATCACTGTGTAAGCGCAAAATTTGGTTAGCAACGAAATCAGGTGTTAAACGAGAGAAGCATGATTTGTATATCATGAGTTTTATCAATTAACTTACATTTTGTTTATATAGGTACATTCGGTTTTATCAACTTGTATCGATCGGATAGGTTCGTTTTTAAGTATCGCTGGAAATGGAAAAGTAAAACCCAATAAACCTCCGATGTGTAATTTCAGGTTTTAATTTAAATATGACGTGGATGGGCGCGTTGCTTATCATTTTAATTAGTTGATTGCATTTTGATCACCTCGTTTTGAACAATGCCAATATACTAATGCATTTTAGAAGCGTTTTAGGGTGACGAAGACCTGCGTTTGTTCGAATAATAGGAAACCGTTCAACGTAATAAGACACTCTCATCAATTACACAAAGTTATTTTCGTTGAGCATACTTTCTCAAGCTTATCTATCCTTTTTTTCCTGTTCTTTTTTTCCGCCTCCAAGAGACGACTTCATATTTACATAGGTGAACGTGAGTTATAGCCAAAAATTACAGGCTAAGGAGGTTGAAGTTACTTTTCGTTTCTTGTTTTTTTTTATTCTTGTTAAGTAAATTCATTTTATAATAGATACACCAGTTGGAAACGTTTCTTATTAGCTTTATATTTTTTCTTATTAGCTTTATATTTTTTCTTAATAAATTCCAAACTGAGCTTTCTTCTTTTAGTTCGGAACAATGATCAGGCTGTTCGCTAAAAAGATGACGACTAGAAAAACACTACGCCGGTTTACGACGCATGCAGTAGTGTCGCGTTGTGTACGTCGCAGAACTGCATTTAATTCTATGTTGAAAAACTTAATCTGTATCACCTGATCCTGGATTTTCCGCTCTTTTCCTTCAGCCACGCCTAAATATTCCCTAAAAATAAGGTGCCGTCTATTTTTCAAATCGGTTAATCTGTCCTCTTTCCTTCCCTCCTTCCTTCATTCCTTCCTTCTTTACTTCCCTCCCTCCTTCCTTCCTTCCTTCCTTCCTTCCTTCCTTCCTTCCCTCCTTCCTTACTTTCTTTCTATCTCTCTTTTTTCGTCTCTAAGTAACGACTTGATTTTTCATTGAATCGTCCCTTACCATGTTCACCCTTAAAAATCAATCATAAGGACTGACTCTTGGTGAAGACCACCTATGCCTGCCTAGGGTGGCATGAACTGTAAGATAGAAATGAAATATTGGAAATTTCAGTGAAATATTTCATGAAATTCCACGAGAATGTGAAATATTTCTTATTTTTCAGAGGCTAGAGTATGCAACCCACATGCAAACACACATAAATAGAAGGAAAACACAATGGGCCTGTTGCAAACTTTTGCTAGAGCAAAACTAAGAGTTGTTTCCTACAGATAATGCCTCAAAAATCACGATGAGCGCATCGGCAAAGTCTGAAATGCACTCATAACTTCACAATCTGCGTAAGAAATTTGCGGTTTTTTTGAGCTTCCCGCTTCGAAAACGATACTACGGTACAGGTGAACATTTTGTTAGAGGAGTCGTTCCATTGGCGACAATACTCATCATGGCCGACGCCAGTCCGCCAAAACACGTGTGATGGGACGAGATAACACTTGAACAGGATTAAACCATATAACAATCGGCGTGTTTACGTTCATATTTTCCTCGCCCGCCTTAATTGACCTTGAACTCTCCTCGAATTACGCGAGGAACTGCGCAAGCGTCGGCCATGATGAATATTGCCGACGATGGAGCGACACCTCTAACAAAATGTTCACCTGTGCAGTAGTATCGTTTTTGAAGCGGGAAGCTCAAAATAACGCAAATTTCTTACGCAGATTGTGAAGTTATGAGTGCATTTCAGACTTTGCCGATGCGCTCATCGTGATTTTTGAGGCATTATCTATAGGAAACAACTCTTCATTCTGCTCTAGCAAAAGTTTGCAACAGGCCCATTTTTACATTTTGCGAAACATGAAAAGGAACCGTTATCCCTCAATATCTCTCATTTTCTGAACTATCGTGAAATATTTTACTTGAAATTTCAAGATTTTATTTTTCATGATTTTTTGCCACCCTGTGCCTGCCCCGCACCTATACTCGATTTATTTTACATACATTTAAGTGGAAGAAAATCAATGTTGCCAGCTCTCGAGAGTCACCCCCGTAAAAATATTAAATATTTTTCTTTTTGAAGCGCGGAGGGAGGAAACTGTGAAACGCCCAAGTGGAGATACGTGCGTTTTTAGTTTCACCATCGATATGCGCCTCGTGCACGCTGCAGTTCGTCGCTTCTCCGACGTAAGGGCGTACCTCCATGTCTACGTGAACCTTTGGAAGCATTTGGTTTTACGGGCAATAAAGCTCGACTTGGAAAGCAGTCGCACCCTTACCTCAGAGGAACGACGAATTGTGAATACAGAGACTAGAAGGAAACGGTCCTCGTCTTGCAGACATACCGTCTNNCTCTCTCTTAACCCCCCCCCCTCTCCCTCCCTCCCTCTCCTCCAACGCAAGGACGTAGCTCTGTTATCACATGAGCCGCAGAAAGTGTAGAGTTTTACGGAGAACACTGCCGTGCTAAGGAAGAATGCCGTATGAACATTCGGGAGTTGCCAAATTTTCCTCGATAAAGCATGTATTTTTGACACAATTTAAGAATATTTTCCCTCTTAATTTTCGGATACCTTAGATTACATTGCGTACAAAATTGTCTGAAAATTTCAGAGAATAATATTCAGAATTTTTCCGTTAAATTCGGTTTTTATCGGAGGAAACTTGGCAACGTCTGAAGGTTCATACGGCGTTCTTCCTTAGCACGGCAGAACGTGGCTCACGTGGAAATTGAGATACGGCGCACAGTGGATCGAGTCAATTAGAGAGGTCGGACATGAAATGTTTCACTAAAACTGCAAATTTTGATGTTTATTTCGTCAAATTTTAAATTTCAAGGGGTGCTTTTAGAGGAAAATTTCACGAGAGAACAATGGAACAACTTTTAGAACCTTAAAGTATTGTTTAAAGGGGGAGTTATAAGCGTTTAAAGTTTCCAAATTTCGTCCGACCTCTCTTATTGACTCGATCCACTGTGCGCCGGGGAGCGACGACACGTCTCACGTAGATGCCGAAATGTTGAACCGCGACCCTATCGATTATGCAAAGTGCACACCCCGCCCAATGTTCAGCATCAGCAATGACTCAACGAGGTAGAGGCTCAGCATTTTGGATTTACACTTGACATGTTGGGAAACGCAGGGTGTCTAACGACCGGGGAAACCGGGAAATGTCGGAGAATTTGTTTGTCTTGTGTCAGGGAATCCGCAAGAAACACACGGATATTTTCTGTCGGTATGGGGCCGCACACTACTTTCTCTAGCACCGGGAAGTTTGAAAATGGAAGCAAGGAATATTCAAGGAAGAATGACGTAGCTCCTACTAGTCTACAATGTGACTTAAGTGGTTCCATATGGTTAGGCTTGGTCCGGTCTGTCTATAGGGAACCGCTTTTTACTTTCTCTTGCACCGGGAAGTTTGTAAATGGAATTAAGGAAGAATGGCGTAGCCACCATCAGTCTGCTTAGAGACTTTAGTGGTTCAGTACGACGAGTGTTTGTCTGGTGACGGACCGCAAAATGGTTTCTCTAGATATTAAGAATTACTTTTTTGACTATCCATCAACTCACGTACAAAGTGACTTTGATGTTTGTATATGACCCAGTCCGGTGCGATAAAAGACCGAATTTAAATTACTTTCTGTAACACAGGGAAATCTAAATCTGTAACCTAGGAAGGAGGACATAGCCTCCGTCGGTCTACAAAGTGACTTCAGTGTTTCCATATGACCTAGTCTTGTGCAGAAAGGAACCGTGCGCACTACACTTTCTCTAGAACCGGGAACTTTGAATATTGAACGTAGCAAGAATGCCATTATGCAAAGCCATGAGTGCACAAAGTGACTTTCGTGGTTCCATATGGCCACTCTTGGTCCGGCCTGCGCATTAAAGGACCGCACTCTACTTTCTTTACTAACTATAATTTTGAATATCACACGTAGCAAGAATGACGTAGCCACCATCAGCACACGAATGAAACCAACATGGTCACTTTGTCCTACAAGGTGACTTTAAGGGCTGCAAAAGGCTAGTATTGTTCCGGCCTATGCGATGAGGGACCGCACTTTACTTTCTCTAGCACTGGAAAATTAGAATATTGGATACAGGAAGAATGGCACCGCCACAATGAGTCTACCGAGTAACTTTAATTATTCTATATGGCTAACCTTGATCCGCCCTGTGGGGGATGAGGGACCGCACTTTATTTTCTCCAGCACTGGGATATTTGAATATAGAATATGGGAAGGATGGCATATCCGTCATGAGTCTGTAAAGTGGCTAAAGTTGTTCCATGTGGCTAACCTTTTTCTGGCCTGTGGAGGATAAGGGACCGCACTTTACTTTTCTAGCAGTGGGGAATTTGAATATTTGGATGGGATTTCGAGAATATTTTTGTTGGGGGTGTAATTGTGAATGTGGACTTATGTGTGTTTGGTTGCTGTGTTTCAGGGGACGAGCGGCCCGCGGCCCGGCTCTAACTACGGCGGAGGGAGCGGAAACCCGTTGAACAGCGGAAGTTTGCACTCGTTGAAGGCGGGCGGGGGCGGTGCTCGCGCTCCTCTCGTCCCGACGCCGACGCCAGCGACGCCGCCGACGCCCGGAGCCGGAGCGGGAGTGGCAGTGGCAGTGGCAGCGGGCATGCCTGCTAATTTCGCGGCCGGCGCTCCTCTTCCATCGGCCACCGCATCGGCAGCCCCACCCTATCGGCACACCACCTCCTGGCCCAGCTCCGTCTCCGTCTCGCAGGCCCCGGCTCAGATCAGATACCCGACCTCCACCATGGCTCCCTACACCGCCCCCTACAACTCTCAACCCAACTCGGTAAGTTCCCCCCAAAGTTCCTTCCAAATCCCCCACTTCAAAATTATAACCAATCATGGAGCCTCACACACTCATTCCAAATCCCCCCGTTTCAAAATTCAACTTTATGCAAAGCAATGATAGAGGCTTTTTTCCACCTCCCTATTCGGGATAGCTTTTTCCCCAGTCTCCTGCGTTGCCATTTATTAAAGTCAAAATATGTTTACGTCCATAACTTTTGAACGGTTAAAGATGTCAAAATGTGGTTTGTTCGAATGGATGGAGCACAAAAAGAGCTACGATTTCTTTCGAATATTTTACCCTTTTTGCCAACCCCCCCCCCCCGAAAATTCATCATTTTTCGATTTTTTACACCTAGAAAAAATCGAAAAAAGAGGCGTGTTTGGGTGAATTTGGCCGGAATGGGTAAAAACTACCAATAAAATTATCGCTCTTTTTGTGATTCATCCATTCGAACGAACTGCTTTTTATATCTTTATCCGTTCAAATTTTATGGGCGTAAAGATTTTTCGACTTCAATGTATGGCAACGTCGCACTCAGGAGGGTGGGGACAAAACCACCCCGGATATGGTGGTCGGAAGTGACCCTTTATCACTGGTAGAAATTTCGCTAATTTTTTAAGTGGGATATTTAAAGGGGGTCTGTGCATTGAGTCCTTCAGAGAAAACATTCATGCAGTAAGGAAAGAGGGTGCTTGTTTATTTCAATAAGGGGAGCATCAGATGTTTCGACGTTTGATCATATACTCTCGCTAACCGAAAATGAAACACAAAACACAGAAAAGCGCGCTAATTTTTCAAATTTTGGCTAAACGCATGTTTCTGACTTGTTTACGGATTGAGAAGTTTTTCGAGAAGGATGCAATTTTGAGGCTTGAATCTGTCTTTTGATACCGATTGGGGTCAAAATGTTTCGTCCTCTCCAAATTTTAATTAAATAATTTCAAAATAGTTCCGAGAACCCCGATTTTCAAAGTCGAAACCCCCCTTTTTAAGGCCGGGGATGACGAAATTCGGATTTCTTGGGGTCTATCCGTATCCCTTCCTTCGGTCCTCAACTTCTTCCGACCTTGAACAACCGTAAAAGCCGAGTACGAGCGGTGGTGGGACAGGGACACCCTGTATTCAAGCCCGTTTTTTCCCGATCAATTCGCTGCAAGAAAACCTGGGAGAGTCGGGTAATTTTTTCGCGCTGATGCCGTCGGCACCCTGTCTCGTGCCTGTAGCGAAATTTGACGTAATATTACGCGCTTCAATGGCGAATCCCTGTGGGATGCAAAAGCTTGATCCATTACCCATTTTCCGGGTGGTCCTGGCGCGACCTCGCGACCGACAACGGACGACCATCTCCTCAGCAGCGGAGCGGGAGCGGGGTCGCTGCGTCAAAACAGAGATTATTAATTTTCAGGATCCTCCACCTCCAGGTGATAACCCTCCACGGAACAAGACCTCAACCAGCGTTGCCGCGTCAATTAATTAACCGATTAACCAAATGTGTTTCGATTTGATGAAAGAGGTTGGCAGGGCCTACGCTGGCCCACATTAATTTAGTCAACTTTCATGTCCCTTTTTCCAGGATCCACTGGGTATTTTTTCAAAAACTTTTAACTTGGTTGGATTTCACAGAGTTCTCAAAGTCAATTTATCACGAGGTTTTTTTTCGAAATTCGAAAGAAATTGCCCCTTTGAAATTTTGGTTCAAATTTTCAGAAAATGTTGACCTTGAAAACCCATGAAAATTTTGGAAATCAAATTTTTTGAAAGTTCCTTGTCAAGGTGTGGAGGAAAGTACTTAAAATCAAACAAATATAATTAAGTTATTTCAAATTATGTCCATCCTACCATTTGGGATGTCTTCAATCCTCAGAGAATTTTACGAAAATGAGACAGGGAAATCGGGGAAATGTCGGGAAAATTCATTTTCTAAATTTTGCGGCAACCTTGCAATGAGCAAAAAATTGTAGAGTATTCAGGAAATTTTAGGATGGGCTCAGAAACGGGGCCCTGATACATGAAACAGGTGAGATTGTATCGATATCGATTGGTTCAACATCCAAACACACCCTCAAAAGTCAATCGAGTATTCTGAGGGGGAACCAGATTTTTGTGAAAGATTCTCCATTCTCACGAGTACAAAATGGCAATGAAAAGTGAAATTGTAAGGAATTTTCTCATTCTAGTTTTTCCAACTAAAATCCTAATATTTTTGTTTGACGTTCCGTTCTATTGTTTTGAAGCACACGATACTTGGAACCTCTATCAAATAGACGGTATTGGTGCTACGTCACAGTCGGTATCGATTGTATCGAATTGGATCCAAACAATCAAACATAACCTCACCTGGACACCCCCCTCTCAGAATTTCACTGTCAGAAGTCAGGAAACTAAAGTGGCATAGGAGTGGCCTAAATCATGGTGGTTCTCGTGGGCATTTTCTCCTAGAGTACCTGTATAGGGAGAGTAGCGACAGATCGGTTCATGGAGGGCTTAGGGCCCAAAAGTGCAGCCACCCTTCTGAGCAACTTCTAACACACAAAATTTCACTGCCAGCCTACAGATTTCAATTCTAACCAAGATGGCTAAGAATGTACATAAATGAGCGTTCTTTCGCAAAAATAAGTAAATTTATGCAAAAAGTAAACCAAATACATGCTTTCTAAACGACGGTTCGTAACAATTGTATTTGTAAATCGCTCTGGACATTCGAAATTCATAGGTTGGCTGCCCTTTTGGGCCCTAACTTTATTCGCGGACGCATCGGTGAAGGCCTGATGGACTTTCGGAGTTTCAGATCTGTCGCTACTCTCCCTATACAGGTACTCTATTTTCTCCTTTCGGAAACTGCTTTATCCCGTAAACGTAATAATATAGGAACGTTCCGTGATTAAATAAACTGTCTCTATGAATAGTAAGGTTATGTTTGATTGTTTGGATCCAGTTCGATACAATCGATACCGATTGTGACGTAGCAGTAATAGCATCTTTAGGATCCATTATCCCGAAATTGGATTGATGGACGGATCGACCAATGAAAAAGCTCGTTTCGGGGGATCCGGCAGCGGCGACGCTCGGCGCGGGGCCCGCTCTACGCGTCGCCGGCGGCCGGTGTGAATGACCCGCACGCCGCTCCCGCAGTTGGCCACGCAGGAATCTGGTCAAGTTCATCGTAGCCTCTGCGGGGNGGGGGGGGGGGGGGGGGGGGGGGTCCCGGCTCCGTTCATTCACTACCGACCGCGGCCTCGCCGCTCCGCTCCGCTCGGGTATCTGCGGCCTGCGCCGCGCCGCATTCTCGCGCTCCCGCCGCGGTGCGGAGCGGTGCGGCGCGGCAGCGCGGCATGGAGAAAATCAAGGTGGTCGTGGTGGCAAACGGAGAAATGTACTTTGCTACGTCACAACTTAACGCCTATCATTGGTTGTTGAGCACCGGTAGGTATGTATGGGTCCCCGGTAGTTTTGTAGGATAGGTCATGGAGCTCGCAGGGCCCGAAGGGCAGACGACCTTTGAACCCAAATCGCCCTGAATCATTCGTTATCCACGGTGTCTACAAGTCCGGAATTTCAAGAAATAGTACTGATTTTTTAACGGCGGTCCGCAAGTGCTGAAAGAGTGTGGATATTCCGCAAGAAGGTCCGGGTTTTTTTTTCATTTTTTGTAATTTCTGTCGCCATTCGAGCGAGAAATTCATAAAACATATACCGCGGTCCATTCATAAACATTCGTGGACATGTTGCTTTGATATTGGAATCCAAGGATCGGCATCGGCATTTTTTAGTGTTTTTCGTGTCACAGGTTTAGCTGCTCTTTTGGATCCTAAGAGCTCCATTTTTCGCCATGTACGTGCTCTTCTCATAAGCCTGTGTAACACTGTCAAAACTAGCCATCAAAATATCAGGGTCAGGTGTTGTGATTGGCTTATTCGATTACTTGGACCAATTACAGCAGTTGACCTTGACATTTTTGATGGAGTATTTTGATAATGTGATACAGGCTTATAGGTCCGCTAGTGGCAAGCGGATAGGTGTATTTTCCTACGTCAGAAGTTAGCGCCTCTATGGCCGGCAATAGAAGGTGTTGAAAAGCGATAGAGAATTATACAGCCGGGCTTTACGAAGCGATTACAAATTATATCGCCGGGCTTTGTAGTTCATCACCTGGCTATAGCTCTTATAGCTGTTAATATATCCTTATCGCCACCGGCTACAAAAGGCTGTAAAATATTAGCCGGCTATAGAAAGCTGTACGAAATCTCAGCCGGCTGTTGAAATCTAAAGAAAATCATATAGATGCCTATAGCAAGCGAAGAATATCATGCAGCCGGGCTGTAGTTCCTACCACCGGGAATGGAGTTTCGCCTGGCTATAGCTTAACGCCATCGACTCTAAAAGGCTATAAGAAACTGTATAGCTGGCTGAAGAAGCTATAAGAAATCTTATAGCCGGCTATGGGTCTATAATATTTTGGAACATAGATCCTATAACCAATTTGTATGAGGGTACGTTAGATGGCTGATTTATTTTCTCTATGCGCACCCGCCAGTGTTGCGTTCCGCTCCGCTTTCGGTGTCGGTCGTCGTTGGTGGCAGATTTCCACCGCGTCCACGAGCCGGGGAAAAACGGGGAAAACCGCCACGCCGCGCCGGGAAACTCCGAGACCTGCCGACGCCGCGCCGCGCCGCTGCGGGAACTGACAATCTCTTCTCTTTGGCTTCCATGTTCCGTCTTCGCGTCGTTCCACGTGGCAGATCTCTACCGTTTCTGAGGCTTTTATTCCTACTCGTTCCGTAAGCCGCTCCTTTTCTTAGGAGCTCCCATGTGGTGTACACTAGAGTCCCTTCATAAGACAACGCAAAAAGGGCATTTCTTGGTCGTGGTGTCTTAGAATCTTTGCTAACGTTTCGTCCATTCTAATTAAAGCAAATCTATGGAATTCCTTGAAACGTTTACTCAACTGTCTTTCTGATTTTATAATACTTAAAACGAAAAATTTCAGAACATTTACC